AACTTGGACACAGCTACATGAAGGACAATGCGGAGATTATGTTCTAGCGAATACATTCTGAGAGTGGGTGTTCTGCTGATAGAATTAATTCCCACGGAAATGGTCACTTTCAAACTCGGAGGTGCCCTCTACAAGGGTTTTGGGAACTCACCTGATTTTGCTGCACGCATTGCACATTGCAGCTCTGCTCACATTGAGGTTGGCATTGTGGGGAAGAGGCGGAAACTGGCACGCTGATCGTCAGCACGACCTGTTGCGCCTGTACCTGAGAAGGTGCCTTAAAGTATTCAAAGATAATTAGTTAAAGCTAGGCCTTTTGAGGCCCAAGACCACTTCTCATGTGAAAATTTCGAAGTCACATAACACGATTGAACAAAAGAGGATTATCCGGGAGCGTTCAAAAATAAAAGAGGCTATGGTGATTGGTCCACCAGCGATAAAAGAAAGCAAAACAAAAGCAGCTACGAAACCTTAAAGTCACAGTGCACGCCAATCGTGTGGGCGGGTTTGCGCCTCGCATCTTATAAGTCTTATCGCCTATCAGCCTTATCAGTTTCTCCAACTTTTGACCGTTTCGCCATATTTTAAGATATTTACATGTCGCCATATTTTACATTGAAGAGCGGCCTAGAAGACTAACAAGAGTGAGACAACCCGCTACAGGACTAGCGCGCAGTCTGTGATCAATAATTAATATGAGGAGTTTTTCTGTGTCTTCTATTGCGTGGACCAGCAGCCAGCTTACCACTTGACACATTCACTTTTGGAAGCAACAATCCACATCTATTCAATCGTGGAATGTGCCATTAAGTTCTATTTTTACTAAATTCCTACAGCTTGTTGCTGTACGCATGTGGTTGAGCAGGCCGGTTGGCACGCTGGAGCCACATTGTACTGGCTGTGGTTGCACTTGTTGTACCTGAAGCTGCCGGGAGCAGAGAGGATGCAAACATTTCTGTCATGCCACGTCTATGAGAAAAAATGAAAAAGAAAACAAAAATTTGATTAAAGACAACAAATCACCTGTTGAGTTTGAATGCATTGTGTAGTGCACGCGGGTTGGCACGCAGGCGCACATTGCTGTTGTGGTTGCTGGACTTGCTGAAAAATCAGATGAGTTAAAGAAACAAGAATCATTGGGAAACCTAATCTTGGTGCATCCAAGCGAAAAAATAAATAAATAAAAAGGAAATCAAAGTTGATAAAGTCAAGAAAGCACCTGTTGAGTTTGAATGCATGTTGTAGTGCACGCGGGTTGACATGCTGGCACGCACTGCTGTTGTGGTTGCTGGATTTGCTGAAAAAGTAGTTAGTTAGGTTGGGGAAGCAAGGAATTTTTGAGAGCCCCGGTTTGATGCCACGAATTGGACAAATTACTACGATTTGCATTCACTGAGCTTCGTCACTTCTACTGCGGAAGCGCAATCATCGGGACATGTTGGTTCGTCTGAAGTAGAAGAAAAGCGAACCACTACTCATTATTTTGAGCAACCCTGTTGATAGGTGGTGAACAAAACTTTCGCCCCAGGCGGGACTGAAAACCCGCACCACTCGCTTCGAAGCGAGTTCTAGTCCCGCCTGGGGCGAAAATTTTGTTCACAACCCAGCATTCTTGCAAAATTTTACAGATAAGATGGTATCGTAAATGGTTTGTATTATGAACCATCTCCCACCTACAAGCCAAAGACCAGCTCGTTCTGCTGCACACGCTTACGAATGATGTTAGAATATGCTGAACTGGGCGCCCAACTGACGAATGAGTGTAGGTACCCAAATCAGCCCATGGGTAGTGGGCTTACAGCGAATTAATCAATTTTTTAAGGTACTCTCTACTTCTTGGCGTCATGGGAAATGGGAGGCAGAGTCGACCGTCCGTTCGCACTACTCGAACCGAGGGCGACCCATTTGTATTTTGAGTGTGAGGCGTGGCGCGCTTTTTTTAGGGTTGAGCGAGGTATCCAGTGTTAAGATCATACATAGATGGTCAGGTATTTTAATAAACGATCCATCTATAAGCAAAGATTTCAGATCGCCTCTGTTTCTCTGCACAGATACAAATTAAAGTCTGGAACTGACGGTCGCGCCGCGACCATACGAAATGGGGGCCTAAGAAAATAGCTACCCAAATCAGTCCATGGGTAGTGGTTTCACAGCCTGATTAATCCCTTTTTCGACGTACTCGCTACGTCTTGGCTCATGCGGAAACCACTTGGAGGAATACTGAAACTGCCGGCGCTCATGTCCTTAGGGGGACATTGAAGTGAGTGGACCACTCATAGAACTCGGGACTAAGCCTTAGGGAGGAAAGGATTCTGGGAAAGGATGTGAGCAACAATTGTTCTCCCTGGTGTTTATTCCCAATCCTGGGCTCAGTCCTGCCAGCGGTTTTCGAATGTTCTGTTTTGAATGTCCCCCCCCCTAAGGACATGAGCGCCAAACTGCCAATGCATCCACCGACAGACCAGGTTTCGCATGGAAGAGATGCTTCAAGTTGTATCCGTTTGCTCCCTTCGTAACGCAGAAAATGTGAGAAGGAGGAGGCTGCTCTAACGTAGATCTAATATGAGAGTGGAATTTCAGATTCAGGCTGAGTAAGCATTTCATCAGTCCAGGGTCGGCTGATTGATGCTACATTCGTCAGGATGGGTAGAAACTTTTGTTCATCGTCTCACAGTTCATTGTATAGGTTAGGTACACCCAAATACCCCTCAAGACTGTTGATGGAAAGCGTAATTCGTGGCACATAACAATGCCGGTGGTACGGCAGACTACTAGTGAGGGGGAACGGTCAACAGAATCGTCCGGTCGTCGCGCCGCCGCGTGCGTCCACTTGCGCGGCAATTTTCAAGAAGCGCGGGACTTTTGAGTTTGACGGTTGAAGCAGCATATTGAAGTTGGATCTTGAAGGAACGGGCCTGCTTGGCGTCCTTGTAACATTCAAGTTCAGATGACGATCACAGAAACTCGTCCACTGCACTTGCGACGTCGCGGCCACGACCGGTAGCGCGGGGATCCGGACGATTCTGTTGACATACACCCCAAGTCAACGGCAGACTACTACTAATTAGAAGCACCTCTGGCCAATTTTGCCAAAATTGGGTCATTCATCAAATGTGAGTCAGACTTTGTATGCTGTCAACAAGCGAACTCATTTAAAACGAGAAGACTCCTTACCGTAGGCTGGCAAACGGACTGACACTGTTGGTTACACTGTTGATCGCAGTTCTGAGCGCCCTGCTGCTGACATTGTTGGTGGCACTGATTCTGGCATTCATCACACTGGTTGGCTTCGGCATACTGAAATTGTATCGAACGATTTATTTTAATGTGTGTATTGTAATTGATTTTTTGAACTAGCCAACCGCCGCCTTTAGCTTTGTAAAAGTTCAGAAATAAACTCTGTTAACTGGATCTGTGAAGTTTCGACAGCCTATGCTATCGCGTTTTGAGTTTTTTGGCAAGAAAGACCAAGCATGTCGCCATCAAGAGTTAATTCAAATAGTAAGCAGAATTTGTAAAAATCACAGCGCATGGCGTATTTTCAAAGAGTTACCTCCGGACCAATACCCAAAATATAACATACTTACTGGTTGATAAATTTGCGGCTGTTGTCCACAGGCCGATTGGCAGTTTTGTTGGCAGATTTGTTGGCACTGCTGCGGTGGTTGACCGGCTGCTTGACATTCGTTCATGCAGGCACTTTGACACTGCTGGCATGGGTTCTGGTCTTGGTATGGCTGGTACATTTGCTGAAGGTATTTATCATGAAAAAGTAGATGAAAATTGTACCAGGGCTTCAATCAGTTACCAGCGGTAATCGATTTGGTTCCCCAGAATATCTACTAATATATATACCTATATAACTTGGAGTATGGTAAGTGCGTTCCATTAGCAATTTCCTGCACCTACACTTTCACATTTAAAGACATTCCCCGGGATTAGCCTCAGCAGTAGGAAAAACACCGCAAGGGATTTGTAGTGTCTTTCCCTATAGAGAGCGTACCACGCCCGTCGCACAAAATGCGTGGTTAGGGCGCTAATCGCTTAAGGTGCTGCAACCATCGGCCCTTATTGCAACGCTTCCCACCACCGCACATTCTCTCGAACGGAATGCTCTCTCACGTGTTCTGACATCTCTGATCATTTTGTCTCAGGCCTCTGTACTAAAACAACGATCTTATTTTAGGTCAGTGCTTGAAATTTTAAGGCGTTCAAGATGACTTCTCTTGCTTTCTTTTCCACTTTTAGTTCATTTACCGCTCATCGTCACTTCGGTGCGCTCTTATACACCACAAATCTCACACGCATCTTATATACTATACAGTTTCACCCCGGGACTCGCCTTAATACCCCTTATGTCCTATCTATATTGAATTGCGCGTCCACCGTCCCTGTTTCCGAGTATTTGGCGACTTGAAGCATGAGTTTATCAAAAGAGCGAGGCCTCTGATTCGGCTTAGTGTCATTGAACGTTTTGAAGTTTCCACGGCTATGTTGACGGGTCTAGGAAAATTTGGTATGGCCTTCAATCTCCACAATTGATCAGAGAATGGCTGAATCCATACGGTTGACAGTTTTTCTTCAACATTCTCTCCTATGTAAACATCATCGTAATTAATCCTTATGCCCCTAAAATAGATGGTATGCTCTATTCCACAGCAGGCTTCACCGACCACTTCTGAGAACTGCTTTTTGCTCTCATGGTCATAGCCTTGTCCGCGATTTTTCCTCCATCTCTAACTGTTCGCGATTTTATGAGCCTTCTATCCAGTACTCTGCGTTGTCCCCTGCTGGCAACGACCGCGTTTTATACGAACGTTTACGGCAAAACGGAGAATCGGAAAGTATGTGCTTCAATCCGACACGAAGGGGTGATAAAAAGCTGGAAAAGTGGACTTTTGGCTAGTCGCTAGAAGGTAGGAAAATTCCACAAAACACAAGATTATGCGGAAAGGAGTATGGGGGTGCAGGTGGTAGGAGAATGACTGCGAAGCTGATTGACTGTACTCTCGCATTCGCTTATTCTACTGTTTTCCTACTGTGGTTCTAAGTTTCATCGGGATGTATTCCATTATCTTAAGGATGTCAGCTAATAGTTCTCCCTCAACTGTTGCTAACCCTTCTCCCTCTCGTTTTTGTTGTTGGATCCATTGTTTTATCTGACGGTTAGTTGCTTTACTTTATTTATTATTTAGGTCGATTTACAAGTTTTCTACTTACGGTGTTCTGGAATTGGTTTTATAATTTTTTTTTGGGAAGCTCCTTCACATGGTTCTCGCTATGTCCTCCCAGTCCCTACATACTGATTCCCTGTCGATTATTTCTCGTTTCTGCGCTCGATCGTCGCACATTCTCGTCGACCCATGCGTTGGAAAACGCGGACTTTGGCCGTCCTATTCCAGGCTCTGTCAAAGGACTGGCTATCGAACTAAATACATTGATGTTTTGAGAAATAAAAGTACCGTGGTTGTAGATGGGTAGGTGATCGGAGCCATAGTGCTGCTTGGTAGGTAACCAGGCGTGCTGTATTGTGGCTGCGAGTACTGCTCGCCGGCAACGCTGAAAGAAGATCCTAGGCTAGAACGTGGGTTTCAGCAGCTAGACTTACCACAGAATATCATAAATAAAGGTCAGGAAGCCATAAGCCAAACTTACGGATTCACCTGAAGAGAATTTCCTCTTCCTGATAATCAACTAAATATTTTGGTATGTTTTGTTTTGCTGTGTGGTGGTTTGTGGTCATTCTGGTGTAATTGGGAACTTCAGTGGCTGGATAGCTTAAAGCTACAACTCCAGACGAAACAGAAGCGGACAGCGCTAAGGCTTTCAAAGTACAGCTTAATTTGAACGCATTGGTATCTAGAGAAACGAGCTATCTCTGCCCACAACAATCTCGCACCGGCCCATGCAATGCAACGTTGGATGATGGCAGGGGCGGGGCTAATTAAGGACGCGACGGTGTAAGTGGGGTAAGATGTGTAATCTAAATTTAGAAAACTCGTTCCGGGACAGCGCGGCGCTTCCTCATTCCTAGAGGTGACAAAAAGCAGAAGAGTCCTTTGTTTAAGGGCCTTATGGCAGTGATTTCGATTTTACTCTCACTTTTTGTCCTTTAACTCAACTCGCACCGGCGCAACTTCGTTACCAAGGTTTCGTCTCTATAATCATTCTGTTGTTATTGATCATCTCTCTAGAAGCCCCGCGCGAGTGTCCCTCATCAAGCTCTTTGGTACGGGGCCCGGGGTGGAACCTTGTGCCCCCTTAAGGCGTATATTTACCCCGCGTATCGAACAGTTCAAACAGTGCCAACGGCAGCTTCGGTTGCGTCATCGTGCACATTTTGCCGAATGACCTGTTTTTCTGTTTCTCTGTTGTCTCAACCCGACCCGCACACTGTTTGCAGATATTCAGTTCTGTGAAGAGTATTTACGCACTCACCAGCTGGTCTGGCAGGTCTGCTGGCACGTGGGCTGGTTCTGGCAGACGACGTTGCACTGTTGAGCGCACTGAAATTCTATATTTAATATCAAAAAAGTTGGTTCCGAAAGAAAGCTAAGATGTGCGGATCAGCCGGAAGTCAACGCCGACTCGGAGACGCAGAAAACAAGCCAAGCGCTCTATTTCTCATTCGAATTGGCCTGTCCTGAGATACTTGGACCGAGAATCTGAGTGACTCCAGAAGAATTTTGGCCTTGATTGCCTCGGCTTACCTGCTGCTGTACGGGCTGAAGCTGCACCGGTTCGGTGCAAGCCGACTGGCATGAGCTGGTGCAGGACTGCTGGCATTGAGCCACAGGCTGCTGTTGTTGTACGCACGATTCAACGCAAGTCGACTGACACACAGGAGCACATTGAGCGGTAGTCTGAAAGGTGATGAACATCGTTCTGCATTGCTCGTAGGAGCCTTGATCTGTATTTGAGATGATATTGAATAGATGCAGAGAAGGAGGAAGAGGTAGGCACCAGGTACTGCTCAGGTAGTATTCAGTTCAAGGCGGAGGTAGTATCACTCTTGAATTTGTCGAGGGCTTGACTGAGCGGCATGGCGGCAAAAACGCCCTTTCTCGGAGGTTATCCTGGTTGGAGAAGCAAATGGAATCCAGAGAATTTCTATCAAGTCTCCGGGGCTGGAGCATTGCGCACGTCTCCAGAGGCTGCTGCTTAATAGGGTTTGGTAAAAATACTCGTCCATATTCCGCGCGCGAGAATTTGCGCAGCGATTTCTAAGCGACAGCTACCGTAACCACAACACCTGATTCAGGGTTTTGGCCCACTCACTCGCTCATTTTCGCTGATAAGAGGAGACTAAATGAAAACTAACAAAATTCAGGAAGAAAGCACGGCAGAGAAAGGCGAAACATTTTGCTCCCGTGGACTATTATTATAAACTCGCGCGCCAGTTCTTATGGAAACGGTAGACGCGGCTTCGAAACGGCAGTGTGCGGCATCTGTACGATCTTCTCATCTGTATGATATATCACTGCCTCCCCCCCCTACGTTTCCTTTTCTTGGGTGATGCCTCTTTTCAGTATATCAGCTAATACAATTTTTTTGTACTAATGTAGGTGGAGGGGGGGGTGGCATTTTTCTGCATTCTCTAGTGCAGAAAGTGGTGTCATTCTAGTCAGAGGGGCCAAACCCGTGGCGCAATTGTAGGCGCTCTAAGGACCAAGCATAGAACAAGACGAAACTTTGTGTGCTCGGTACTAGGGGTCCTTCATTAGTTACACACCACGGCGCCCCTCCCTTCTACATTAGCATCATACTCTTCAGCTTATTGCTCTACATAAGTGCTGAAATAAAAGTTGAGCGATTGGCTGTCATACCTGTGGAGCGCACTGTTGGCAGCTGGTCGTCTGCACTGGCTGAGTGCATTGGCAGCTCTGCTGAGGGCTGAATTCGATAACGGCCTGACACACGCATTGAGGTTGCTGTTGAGCACAGCACCGACGTGCACGAATCTGAAATGTTATAAGATGAAGTTTACGGTAACGCTGGATTATTGTAAAGAAAGTTTCCTGTGTTTTCGGCGCTCATCCAGCAGATACATTGGCATGCCTCTGATAAGCCTAGGTAAGTGGCAAGAACTTTTGAGAAAGTGAAAATTGCTCCTCAACCTCGGAGTCTCCCTTCCACCGCCTGAGGCTTAACCCCGTTCTCACCAAAAAAGCGGGTTTAACGCGACTCTAAATGCGCTGCTACCACAGTGCCCCCGTATGTTGCGATAACACCGTTGCTGCATGAATATAATCTTTTTTTTGTAAAATGTGCTGGCTTGTTATTTTGAAATGGTAGTTACAAGCCTGAGTTCAAAAGCAATGGATAGCGGACTTTTGCCAAGAATCCTTGGCATCATATTTCTTTAGGCTCAATGAAGATTGTTTATCAAGAATAATATAAATTCACATGTTTAACCGACCAACTCCAGAAGCACCCTGCTGGACTAGGCGCTGACGATATGAAAGCTAAAAATATGAAAAAAGAACTCAAAATTCAAGAAGGCATGACAAGGCTCATTTAAGCCCTTCTAACCCAATATGGAACGTTCTTGGGAATCAAATGGAGCATTTCCAGCTTTCGATCACCGTGAAGGGGAACATGTGTTCACAGTTCTCAAAAGTGCTACCTTCTACCCCTGTTGCTAAGTTGAAATCAAAAAGCTGAGGTAGGGCAATACGGAGCCTCGGTAAGTTCTTCAGCACTTGCCCGGTATGCGAGCAGTACCGGTTCAAGTCTCGCCTGCCGCGAAAGTTTTGTTTAAAACCCAACATTCTTATCAATAATTAAAATAATTAGTTAGTGCTAATTAAAATAATAAATGTAAATTTTTGTGAGGAAAAGCAATAAACTGAGCAGGAATCAAAGTAATTTACCGGTTCAGCTAGTGAGTAAGCCAGTGAGCAGCAGAATATCGCGATGAGTGCCGAGTTGCGCATGTTTGACGCAGGCGCAGAGACAACGAGTGGCAAAAGTTCGTTCACGTTTTATATCAGGTCGTCTCTACCGGTCTTGTGGCGAAAATCCGGACGGATAAGCTGTGCTCAACCCCTTCCTCTATTTGTAGTTTTTTATTTGCCGCTGCGAGCGCTGTCGTCGTCGTCGTCGTCGCGACCGTGGTGTGCTCTAGTGTGGTGGTGGTGTGCGCGTGTTTGCGTTGGCGTGAACGTGGAAACTGAAGTCGTACAAATGCCGGCCATACTGGACCGGTCCTCTTCAGTGACTGAGCACCAAAGTGCATTGAAAAACATAATTTTCAATGATGAATCATCGACGGAAATGACGCCGATCGGCTGAGTGGATTTTGAAGTAAATTTGTCCAGTAGATCAGCAAAACCAGCCTCAGCTGCAGCTTATCCTATCACTGCTATCATCAAACAGAAAAAGCTATCATAACATCGGCTAGACGATTTTTCTAGGATCTACAGGTTTCTGCTCAGCTGAGCCGGAGGTTCTTGAAAGGATCCATGAAAGTGTCCGCGAACGAATCGACTTGGCCAAAATGGGCCAAGAAAGCCTATATTTGCGCAAGAGTGTGAGTATGACAAATGCCCTGAAGTAGAAGTGTAAAGATTACGCCAGGAACTCATACTGAGGTAGAAAGACAACGTAATAAAGTCAGGGTCGCCAAAGTGGAGCTACCGTAGTCGGCCTACCACAGGTCGAGCTGCTAATAAC